GCAAGTATTTTGCCTACGGTCTCACAATGGGAGGGTTTTCAGAATTACTATTGGTTTCAGCTTCATGATGGGGTTTTGATTCCATCGAAAGTCTCTGTTATCACCCGTCCCCCTCCTGATAAGTTTTAAATCTATCTCAAACACTTTGATGCCGGTTATCACCTGTCGTCTTCTGATTTTCTTATGGAACTATTGGACTACCATAAGATCCACTTGACCAACTTGTCCCAAACGGCGTGAACAAAGTTATCGTTTTTGAAATGCTATGCCGATGTAATGGTGTTGTGCTTGATATTTGGTGTTTCCTCATTTCTTCCATCTTTCTGCTTCATCTTTTGGAACAACTATACTTTTTGTGAGAGGAAGTATAGTCAGATTCTTGTGACCGATCGGAAGGGTTCTCCTAAGAATTGGCAGAACCACTGGATTTGGGTCGATGGAGAGAGGGTTGGTCGAATGTTCTGTCGTATTAAGTCTTCATTTGATATTGCGATATAGTTATTTCCAGAGAAAGAGAGCGTTGCTAGGGTTCTGAGGGGCTTTGAAGTCATTGAAGATGATTTTCCAGAGTATGTGTTAGCTGGGGCAAGGATGAGTACTTCATTGTGGTTGCACGGAAAGATGAATTAATTCTTTGTTATCACTAAAGGTACGTTCTTGTTCCTTGCTTCTTCCTTATCTATCTCTTCTTCTCTTCCCCTCCCTTTGAAATATTCCTGGTATGCATTATGGTGCTGTAGGTGTAGAGAAACATGTGCGGTTCATGGATATGTTAGCTAAGAAGTGGTATGGGACCCTTAAGTTCCGGGAGGTACCTCTGGTGGATAGGTTCCTTCCTTCCTTTTGTTGGATTAGTGTCTAAGCCCATAACTATATTTGATAAGTACTTGACCCGGTTGTGCATGGTCCTTTTGGGTTGCCTTCACCAAAGCAACTTGACAAGGTGATTTATGAATAGAGATATTAATGTGGTTTATTAATATATTATATGAATAATATATTAACAGAGAAATCATATGATTAAATTAATATTAGACAAGAATTAATTAAGAAATTAATTTTGTGGCTAAAAGACATTAAATTAATATCAGGGACTTAAACTGTCATATGTGTGATAGTTGAGTATTGGGCTGAGGAGCCTCTTCGAATTAGCATGGACGAAATTAGGAGGAGTTCATCCATAATTTCGGCCATAAGGCCTTATTCTAGAAGCCTCCTTGGATTGCTTAAGGCTTAAGCTGTCCATTAGGGTTTAGACTGAAACCCTAGCTGCTCTAGTATAAATAGGACCCTATGGCTTGCAATTTTGGCCACTTGAACCCTAAGGAGATCATAGCTGAAATTGATAGCCTCCAACCTCTCTCCAAATCATCTTCTTGCTTCTATGGTGTTTGTGATCCATTAGAGGAGTGACATTTGTGACACTAAGCTCCAAGACAAGAAGAATCAAGCAATAAACAAGAGGTATTCATCTAGATCTGATTTATCATGTCAATTTCGAATTATGTAACCTAGATCTAGGGTTAGAAAGTCTTGGATGAATAGCATGTACAATAGAGAAGCCTAGATCCAAACATTAGGGTTTGCCTGAGCACATAGGATGTTCTTTTGGCTCAAACCCATCAGTGGTATCAGAGCCTTGATTGGTTTCTATTGTATTTGATGCTTTGCCTTTCATTCTTGCTTGAAAATCGATTTTTTGGGTCATCTGCCTGGCGAACTCGGCGAGTCCCAATGTGGACTCGGCGAGTAGGATGAACTCGACGAGTCCTTAAGGGGACTCGGCGAGTCGGAGCGTCAGACAGAGGGATTTTCAGGATTTCTTGTTGTTTTGCTTAAGGATAATTGCCTAAATCGTTTTTGACAATTAGGATCCGAATTTTAATGCTGTTATATGATTATCCTTACCAAAACAAAAGATAATTACCAATTGTTTGAATAATAAATTCCTTATTTGATAATATTTGATTATTTAAATTAATTGTTGAATTATCTTATAAATAAAGATGAGTAGGTCAAATTTAGATAATCATTAAATTAATTGTTTAATTTAAATTATTTGCTATTTGATCCTTTATGTTTTGAAAAGTTCAAAACTTATGCTCAAGTTTTGAAATTTAAATTTTATAATTAAAAGTTTAATTTGAACTAATTAAATTTCAAACCCTAGAATTTTACAAGTTTAAAATTCAACCTTATACTTTATAATCTTATAAGATTATATATATATATATATATATATATATATATATATATATATATATATTAATTTTTAATATTATAAAGTATAAGGTTGAATTTTAAACTTGTAAAATTCTAGGGTTTGAAATTTAATTAGTTCAAATTAAACATGTGTATATGTCAAAGCTAGTGGGAGTATAGTTAGCTTCCTCGTGTTGTATGTCGATGTCATACAACTCATAGGAAATGACATCCCGACGCTGCAGGAAGTAAAGTCCTGGTTTGGGAAGTGCTTCGCTATGAAGGACCTCGGAGAGGCTGCCTATATTTTGGGAATAAGGATAGTGAGAAACAGGAGTAAAAGACTAATAGGACTTAGTCAGAATACTTACTTGGACAAGGTACTAGAATGTTTTAGTATGGAGAGATCCAAGAAAGGGGAGTTACCGATCCAAAGTAATGCCAGGTTGAGTGAAACTCAAAGTCCGGGTACCGAAGTCGAGATAGCAGAGATGAGCCGAGTACCTTACGCCTCCGCAGTTGGCTCGATCATGTATGCTATGACTTGTACTCGCCCTGATGTGTCCTTCGCTTTGAGCATGGTCAGCAGATATCCGGGGAATCCTGGCAAAGCGCATTGGACCGCAGTCAAGAATATTCTTAAGTACCTTCGGAGGACCATGGAATGGTTTTTAGTCCTCGTTGAGAGTGATGACTTAAAGGTGCGAGGGTATAGTGATGCCAGTTTTCAGACCGATAGGGGCAACTACCGTTCGCAGTCGGGGTGGGTCTTTACCCTTAATGGAGGAGCAGTAACTTGTAAAAGTTCCAAGCAGGAGACCGTAGCTGATTGAACATGCGAATCAGAGCACATTGCAGCGAGCGAAGCGTCAAAGGAGGCAATATTGTTGAAGAACTTCATTGGAGACCTTGGAGTTGTACCAACCATATAAGAGCCTATGGAAATTTTCTGTGATAATGAAGGAGCAGTTGCCTTGACAAAGGAACCGAGGGATCATGGCAGATCTTGACATATCGACAGGAAATATCACTTTATTCAACATCGGGTGGAAGAAGGACTCTTTGTAGTGAAGAGGGTATCGTCATAGGATAACCCAGCAGATCCCCTTACGAAGGGACTGAGTAGGGTTAAGCACTTGCAGCACGCTAGGAGTATTGGCCTGAAGGACGATATTAGTTTAGATTAGATAGTTTTAGAAATGTGTAATAGATAAATTGTAATTAACATTCGATGATTAAATAAAAGAGTATTATTGAGTAGGAATGTTACTGTCTTATGTTAATTGTTTACCTATTGTTTCATTTTGCATATTTTGACTTCCTGAATAATAAAATTATTCAAACGGTCCACAGTCGTTCATATGTTGGAAGTAGGTATGAATGAAGACTATCATGAATTGGTGTGTAGATTGTCTAAAGTGTATTAGACATAGCAAAGATTTGCTACAACGTTCATGAGTGCTTATAAATAAGATTTGGGCATTGGGATAAACCCACGCTTGCTGGAATCACTTCATGGAATTTGTCACGAGTGATCGCAAGACGATAATATCATATGGTCTTAAAACCTAGATATATGGTTTATTGTTTGCTAGTTGGTTGTGCATTGATAATGCACAAACGCATCAGTAACTTGATGTTATAAAACACATTGTTGTGTATGATTTGATTAGTGAATGGTAAATGCATATAAGTCGAAGTTTATCTATTCCTTTTATCCTAAGAGGACAAAAGCGATATCAGGGCCCCTCGATGATTTGATTTGACTTATGTGTCGGGCCCGGTCAGGACTGAATTGATGTGTTCAATTAAGTTCTATGACAAATAAATCAGAGATCGAGAAACAAACTGCTGGACAATAAGTATGACTATGTTCCATGTATTTGTCCACAAGATATCTAGAACAGAGGATTATACGACCCCTTATCTAAAGGACAGGTTATTGATGAGATCAGAGTTTGACAGCATATCTGAGAGCTACAATTGCTAATCGGTTTGTATTTACATTTATAGTTACTAGACTTATCCAAGTGGGAGACTATAGGATTAGTGTCTAAGCCCATAACTATATTTGATAAGTACTTGACCCGGTTGTGCATGGTCCTTTTCAGTTGCCTTCACCAAAGCAACTTGACAAGGTGATGTATGAATAGAGAGATTAATGTGGTTTATTAATATATTATATGAATAATATATTAATAGAGAAATCATATGATTAAATTTAATATTAGACAAGAATTAATTAAGAAATTAATTATGTGGCTAAAAGACATTAATTTAATATCAGGGACTTAAACTGTCAAATGTGTGATAGTTGAGTATTGGGCTGAGGAGCCTCTTGGAATAAGCATGGACGAAATTAGGAGGATTTCATCCATAATTTCGCCCATAAGGCCTTATTCTAGAAGCCTCCTTGGATTGCTTAAGGCTTAAGCTGTCCATTAGGGTTTAGACTGAAACCCTAGCTGCTCCAGTATAAATAGGGACCCTATGGCTTGCAATTTTTGGCCACTTAAACCCTAAGGAGATCATAACCGAAATTGATAGCCTCCAACCTCTCTCCAAATCATCTTCTTGCTTCTGTGGTGTTTGTGATCCATTAGAGGAGTGACATTTGTGACTCTAAGCTCTAAGACAAGAAGAATCAAGCAATCAACAAGAGGTAATCATCTAGATCTGATTTATCATGTCAATTTCGAATTATGTAACCTAGATCTAGGGTTAGAAAGTCTTGGATGAATAGCATGTACAATAGAGAAGCTTAGATCCAAGCATTAGGGTTTGCATGAGCACATAGGATGTTCTTTTGGCTCAAACCCATCAGCTTTTACTTCCGGACTAAAGATTTTACTTTCAAATCTGTTGTTGTTCAAGAGGCTGAGCGTCTTGCCGGTGGGTCATCGAGTATGAATGTTTTGGTGATGGTTCTTCATGAAGTCTCCTGTGGTGGTAACTCTGGGTTCGTTGGTGCATTTGCTGAATTTATTGAGGATAGCAAAGAAGGAGTGATGGATGCTACGAATAACAGAAAACGTATGTGGGAGAATGTTGGAAGGAGGTGGAGCCATTGGTAGTTGTTCGTTGTTTGCGGCCATACCGATGGTTTTCTTCGAACGATGGTAGTTCTAAATGTTGTGGTAGTGGTGAGGATGTTGTTATTGATTTTTTAGATGATCCAATGGTTATTGGTGAGAATGTCATTTTGGAGGGTGGTCAACAAGGTGGTGGTTTGTCAGAGGGAGTGTTGTCTAATTCTGAGAAGATGGTTTCTGGTGATGATTGTGATTGCAGTAAGAATCTTTTCGTTGTGGTGGTTGGGGGTCATAGTGATAGTGGTATTGGAAGTGAAGGGGGTTTCTTTTTTTAGGGCTACCAGTGCATCTATTTCGGCTGGTGATTGAAGTTTCAGGAATCGGTTCGTGCCGCAGTAGACTTTGGGTGAGAATGCCAGATTGTCATTTTTTCGGTTCCTAAAGAGTATGTGTGTTACGTTTTCCCTCCTGGCACTTTGGATGAGATGGCAAGTTATTCTCTGGCGGATTTTATTGGCCCTTTACGTTTCGTTGCTAAACAAAGTTCATGTGTTTTGGCAGACACGACTAGACGTCTTCAAGAGTTTTTCAAGGTAGATGTTGAGTGGTCGCAGCTTCGCCAAGAGCTCCAAAATTATGTTAGTGAAAATAGAAGGTTGCATGTAGCTGAAGGTGAGTGTCGCGCTCATGTATGTTTGTTTGAAGCGCACCTGTTGGAATGGTTCTTGTTGAGAAAGAGAACTTGGAGAAGCGGTTGGCTTCATTGGATGCGGAGAATGTTGCTGCTAAGAGGGAGCTGGAGAAGTTGAAACAGGAGAATTAGGGTTTATCGATTCAGTTGAAGAGTACGGAGAGAGATGTTGTGGAGCAAATTCGCATTGTGTCAGCAAAAACTACAACGTTGGAACAGGTTGAGCAAGATTGTCAATGTTTGATGATCGAAGATGTTGTTGGTGTCGTTGACAAAGTTTTGGATAGTAGGGAATTCAGCCCTGGGGTGAATCATTATCAAGATACTTGTTTGGCCGCTAGTCGTTAGGAGGGGAAGCAGGATTATCGTGAGTCATTGATGGCTGGGAAAGTTAAGCTAGAGGATGAGGATTTGGAGATTGACTATGCGCATGACATGAACCATGTTGTGGAGCTGTTTTCTACAAAAATTTTTGCATCTTTGTTCCATCTTGGGCAATTGAACCTGGACGAATTGAAGCACTTTATTCGTCCCAGTGAGTGAAATGTGTTGTTGTTTAGAACTTATGTTTTGTGGGTTGGTTTAGCTATTTGGAAAATTTCTTTCCTTTTGCTATGTTGGCGTGTAGACCGGTTGGGTCATTTGGATGGAACTACTCTTTGTTTCTTACTTCCTTTTGCCTTTGTATGTTTGTATGATGTTACGCTGTTTGGTATATTTCCTTTATTGTTGTTGAATCGTTGCGTGTGTTGAGATTCACTGTTTTAGTGGGGTACTAATTCCAGTCTTGGTCTTTTTGTTTGACGAATCCAAGTTTTCCATATTTTGTCATGGTTCGAGACCAAGATGTTTGGTTAAGAGCAACTCCAGTTGTGGGGCTAGGAGCCCCTATGCTCATTTCTTATGTTAGGACCTAAGGTCGCGTAACCCATATTGATTCTTGTCATGGCATTGCCATGCTTTCCTAGGTTAGAACTGGGGGTCGCATAACCGATACTAATTCTAGTCATGAGGTTACCATGCTTTCGCAGGGTAGGACCAAGGGAAGCATAAACGATATTATTTCTAGTCAGGGTGTTCACATGCTTTCGTAGGTTAGGACCAGGGGTCGCGTAACCTGTAGTGTTTCTAGCACCCGACTATGTATATTAGACTGATATAGGCTTTTAACCACTATCTTGGGCTTGCGTTGCATTATTGTTTCTAGAAAAGTCTCCTTGGTTAGATGAGCGGTCCAACCATTGGATACATTATGACTTGATACTTTCTTTTTGGAAAAGTAAAAAAATAGAGGAAATCAGTAGATTGCTAGATTTTCGTGATAGTTGGTTATGCTGGGAAACTTATGTCACACCCCCAAACCAGGATGGCAGAAACATTTGGGGGCCGATGATTTCATGTACTATCATAACAGTTGAATATTTGTAAAGAAAGTAAACACAACCATCATAAATATAATTTAAAAGTTACATTGTTGAATACAATACATGTCTCAAATTAAATTACAATATGATGATTTAATAAGTTTTAAGACGGACGTCTTAGCGTCCCTTTTCCAAAAGCTGAAGATTTACCTGTATTACTGAATCCCTGAGAATACAAGCAGTTTTGAAAGAGTATCAGCATAAAGCTGGTGAGTTCATAAGCATTTAGTTTTGGTGGAAATGTTCTTTGATCCTTTGAAAAGTGTTCCTCAAGAAAATCCATATTTTTCTTAATAAAAGCATGTTTGAAACCCATTCCTTCCATGACTTCCAGATTCATACAGAAACGTACAATCCAAGGAGTCATGGAATGAATATGAATATCCATTAGTTCAATGTTAAACCATCCGTTTATGAAAATACTGTGTTATCCTGGGAAAATCCTATATTTTCCCTAAAAGTAGTTTGTTGGTTATCCGTTCTAAAATGAAGTATACAAATATTTACCATATTTATATCGTTAAACGTAGTTTTCTTTAAAAAAAACCTGGTTACGCCCAGTGAGATATATTAGCCTCATTACACTAATAAAAATATGGTGAACCAAAATACTGTAGGTATTATCAATATTCTCTAGTAATCAATTGGTTATTACTCTGAGGTTAGTTTACTCGATCCATTATTACGTAAGTAAATAGTTGTTATCTACGTTGTGAGTTTTATAACCATACATTAACTTGATATGGCACGTATCGGGGCCAGTATCCTTTATGACTTTGTCACCCGTAGACCTGCCGGTCCTACTGTAGCTAGCAGCGAGGTGCGGGATAGTCAGTCCCGTATAGATCTATACACAACAGTCACGCTCTCCCCACAAGAGATTCTGGTCATATGTGTTAGTCCTACACTCTGTTTCGGTGGTGAGTGTTACCAAGGACGTGTCTCCATCTTAGACTAACAAATTTACAAGTAATAATGCTGAAAACCGTTTTTGTAATTAACATGAATCCTTTTATAAAATGATATCTTTTACTTCATGATTCATAAGTTCATTGTCTTAGTTTTGAAAACCGTTTCTGCGAGTTGATTTCTTAACCCATTTGGTAAAAACTATTTTCCATGTTCAAAGTATATTGAAAATATAATTGTCTTAAAAAAAAATAATATACTTTAAGCCCAAGATTACTTGTGCTTTTGCTTGTATTCCCCCCCCCTGAAAACATGAAAAACTCGGAAAAACGTAGGGGTATGAACTCACTTGATAAGTGGTGGATCGGGCAGCGTGTCGTTTCTAGGAATGATCTTTCTTGATGTAACCGCGGGTTTCTGGTGAAGAAACGAGCCTCACGCGGGCAACACTTCGACTGGAAAGAATGTTTTTCTCGGGAACATCGGGACTTCGAGCCTTCATCGGGATCTGGACGCATAACTGGGGCGTCGGGGTAGTCTCGGGATGCTAAACGCAGAGTAAAAGTGGCCAGATGAAGAGAAATGAGCAGCCTAAACCCGAGACCTTCGTTTTCTATTTATAGGGTCATTTTTCGGGACTCACGTCGTGAATTTCACATATTCACATCGTGAGTTCAGTAGTCATCAGGTGCGTCATCGCAACTTGCGTCTGTCAGGCTCCAGAAGGCGTCAGCACTGAGTTCACGTCGTGAACCTCTTTTTTCACGTCGTGAACTCTGACACAGTGTTGGGGTTCGCGCCCCGAACTTCAGAAATTCATAACTTTCGCATACGAACTCCGTTTTCGACGTTCTTTATGTCGACGCGAAGGCGACATTATGCTCTACAACTCTCATTTAGACTTTGTCGGCTAATTTTGACTTTAAATTTTATTATATTTATTTTTAGTAGGTCGGGACAGGAAAACTCCGTCAAAAATCCATAACTTCTTCATCCGATGTCCGTTTTCGTCTGTCTTTTTACCGTTGTACTACTATTGTCGAGATCTTCGATTCTCGTTTAGATTGTTTCGGCCAAAAGTCGCTCGATCTCTATTTCGAGTTTTTAGCTGTCTACTGCTATATCCGAAACTTAGAAAAATCATAACTTCCTCATACGAAATCAGATTTTGACGTTCTTTTTATGTACGCTTATGTTTTAGTGATATCTACTACTTTCATTTAGATATGTAAGGCTAAAAGGTATTTTATTGAAATTTTGTGTTTTTACGCTTAACAGTGTTTTACCGGTTTTGACGCAGATTTTTGATTGGTCATAACTTCTTCGTTATAACTCGGATTTGAGTGTTCTTTATATTTCTCAAAACCCTGACACGGTATCTATCATTTTATGCAGCCCAATTCAGACTTTTGAACATTTCATTTTTGACGCTATATTTATTATATCAAAATAGATTACCATACTTGACTTTAGGTCATTATATTGACTTGAAATATCGGGTTGTCACATCATCCCCCCGTTAGAGGGAATTTCGTCCCGAAATTAATTCTAAGATAGGCATTTATGGACTAGGGAAGAGATGCGGGTGTTTTTGTTTCATATGATCTTTGCGCTTCCAAGTGTATTCAGGTCCTCGCTTGGCATTCCAGCGGACCTTCACAATGGGTATGCGACTTTGTTTTGTTCTTTTAATTTCCCTATCCATGATTTCTACTGGCTCTTTAACGAAGTGGAGACTCTCGTTGATTTCAATTTCATCCAGAGGGATGACGAGGGTCTCATCGGACAAGCACTTCTTTTAAGTTTGACACATGAAAGGTAGGGTGTACGTTATTGAGCTCCTGTGGTAATTGAAGTTTGTATGCTACCAGGCCAATCCTGGAAAGGATCTCGAATGGTCCGATATACCTTGGATTTAGTTTCCCACGTTTTCCAAAACGTATTAATCCCTTCCAGGGAGAGACTTTGAATAGTACTCGATCCCCAACCTTAAATTCCAAGGGTTTCCGTCTTTTGTCCGCATAACTCTTTTGTCTGTCTCCTAAAGCCTTTAATCGTTCTCGGATGTGGACAACCTTCTCGGTAGTTTCCTTTATGATTTCCAGGCCAGTGAGAGTGCTGTTAGGTACTTGTCCTCTAGCTAGTTGCGTGTTACCCACTTCAGCCCAGCACAGAAGTGATCTGCACTTGCGGCCATAGAGGGATTCGAATGGAGCAACCTTGATGCTAGTGTGATGGCTATTATTGTACGAGAACTCAACCAATGGTAAAGGGGTATCCCATGCCTTACCATGATCGATCACACAAGCACTTAGCATATTTTCCAAGGTTTGAATGGTCCTCTCACTATGTCCGTCAGTGTGTGGGTGGTAGGCGGTACTCTTGTCTAGTCTCGTTCCTAGAGATTTTTGTAGTGACTTCCAGAACCGCGAGGTGAATCTAGTATCCATGTCTGGGATAATGGATATTGGTACACCATGCAGTCGCACAATCTCCCTGATGTATGTTCTAGTCAGTTTCTCCAGCTTGTCTGTTTCCTTTGTTGGTAGGAAGTGTGCGGATTTGGTTAACCTGTCGACGATCACCCAAAGTGGCATCAAGTCCACCTGTTGCCTTGGTAACTTGATTTTTAAGCCCATTGCAATCCGCTACCACTCCCCCCAGGTATCTCTGGTTGTTATAGTAAGCATGCGAGCTTTTGCTCTGAAGTTCATGATAAGACTCATCCTTGGCTCATCCATCCTCACCTCGTGTATACGAGTTGTATATAATTTAAATCGACAAA